AGGAGGGGGCAGTACTAAGAGAAAGACATCATGCTTGGAACGGTGGAAGGAAAGGGCAGGAGAGAAAGAGACCAGATGAGATGGATTGACACAGTTGCTGTGGTGATGGGGTAAATAGGGTAAGGTGTGTCAGAGGCAGTGGGATTGGCTCAGGATAGGGCAGGGTTCAGAGCTATTGTGCATACAGTCTCTATGAGTTACAATCGACTTGATGACACATAACAACAACATGTCCAAAGTATGTGAGATGAAGCTGTGTCCTATTTACCTCCAAGTAACTTTCTGGCTGTGCTTTCTCCAAGAAACATCCGTTTGTTCTTTTGGAAGTCCATGAGATAATCAGTATTCTTCTCCACACTCTTTCTCCCAGAGAGTCACTGATGGATTCGAATCACCAATGAGGTGTGGCCTTTAGATTAGCAGCTCCCTATGGACTAGGCCACCAGAGCTCTCTAAAGGATTACAAAGATTTTTAAAAATGAGCTTTCCTGGGAGCTGCTGAAGGAGAAGGGGAAGGGCCAGGCTGGTGCATCGCCTCCAGACTGGCAAAGGCCCAGCTTTGGCAAAGCCAGTCACCGCATGAGAATTGAGGGCCTAAGGCTGAGGGCTCTTTGCCTGCAGGCCTTCATCAATTCTCCTTCTGTCTTCCTTACTCATTGTCCAGCTCTCAGATGCAAAGCAAGTGATTGGAAAGTCCATGACCTGAATCAGACACATCTTGGTCTTTAAAGTGACATCACTGCTCTTCAGTAAATAGGAGAGGTTCCTGACTGCACTTTCCTAATGCAATATGTCTCCTAATCCCCTGACTGCTGGTACTAGGGTTGCTGGCTGTGAATCCAACTAAGATGAAATCGTTGACAATTTCAATCTTTTCTGCATCTATCATGATGTTGCCTATAGGCCCAGTGGCGAGAATTTCTTGCTTTCTGATGCTTAGATGTAATTTATATTGAAGGCTGTATTCTTTGATCTTCTGCAGTTTGTGCTTCAAATCCTCTTCACTTTGCAGTTTGTAACACAGGTTGTTGATGAGTTTTCCTCCAGTCCTGATGCCACATTCTTCTTCATAGAGACCAGCTTCTCCGTTTACTCAGCATACAGATTGAATCGGTGTGGAGAGGTTTGCAGCCCTGGTGCACACCTTTCTTCATTTTAAACCATGATGATGTGTACAACAGTCTCTTGATCGAGGTACGGGTTTCACATGCGCTCGGGAATAAATGCTCTGGAATTTCCAGTCTTCTCAATGTTAGCCAAAATTTGGTACAATCCACACAGTGAAATGCCTTTGCAGAGTCCATGAAACACATCTGACATCAGCAATGATATCCCTGGTGCCAAAGGAGAGTCCTTCAAGGACAGAGCTTTCTCTTCCACTCTCCAGTTCTGCACCGTACACAGCCTCTAGCGCACCACTGCCTCTTCAGACTTCATGGAGCTTCAGTCATTAGCAACAGACTCTGTCTCTTATAGGACGACAGATTGACAGACAGCTGCCATTGCCATGGCTCAATTCATGACCCCTTCAATCTCAGCAGAATGAAACCGTTACAGTTCTGCATCGTCCTCACCATCTGCCACTCCAACAGCACTCCTGGGCCAGGCCATCTCACAGAGTCATCTGCCTCGCCGCTGTCAGCCCCCTACCCATCTCCTTCATTATACTGGCCCATCCTGGCCTTTGGAAATTGCTTGTGATTCTTGATCTCATAATCCATCCCCTCGTTGCAAACATTTTTAAAACATAGTTAGTGCGCCAGAGTGTCTACGCTCAGTATTTATCCTCATGCTTAAATAGGTTCCAGGTCATTGGAGCAGAAGAGAAAAGGAATGGCACAAATAAAAGTTCGAGGTGAAAGTCACTTCCCTGTGGCAACAGCCCTCAAAAGTATGAGACGCACCTGTCCTTTGACACAGCCAGTCTCCACTGGTTTTGTTTTACTGATAAGTGCTGCACATAAGAAATGAAACAAGATTTTATGTATGTAGTAGGCTTGTGTAACGGAGCACTGGTGGCCTAGTGGTAAGGAGCTGCACTGCCAACCCAAAGACAGGCAGTTCAAATCCACCAGCTGCTCCGTGGGAGAAAGATGAGCAATTTCTTCCCAAGCAATTTACAGTCTCTGAAAACCCACTGGGGGGTAAGCTAAGAGTCGGTTCTCACTCAATAGTACATAATAAAAAACTAAAAAACAAAAAAACACCCTAATAAGCTTGTTTATAACAGTGTGCACAATGTACTACCATTTGTGCCAAAGATAATATAAAGAAAAACATACGGTGTGTCAAGTTTGTCACCATTTGTATTGATAATAATTATAAAAAAATATATCCATCCCTTCTGATTCTGACTCATGCTTATCTCACATGGAAGAGTAGAACTTGTTTTGTTGTCATTGTTGTGTACTGTAGAGTCTACTATAGAGTCAGAACCAACCCAAAGCTGACACTCCAGTGGGTTTTCAGAGACTATAAATTGCTTGGGAAGAAACTGCCCATCTTTCTCCCATGGAGCAGCTGGTGGATTCGAACTGCACGTCTTTGGGTTGGCAGTGCAGCTCCTTACCACTAGGCCACCAGTGCTCCCTTACATAAGCCTACTGTTAGAGGCAGGTAATGGCACAGAATACTGTCCATCCTTCTCCCGTGGAGCAGCTGGTAGCCTTGAACCATGTGCCTTTAGCGATTACAGCGCAGCTCTTGCCACTAGGCCACCAGAGCTTGTAAGAGCAGAAGTAGAGTCCAGATTTTAATGACTGCCGTTTTGGAAGTATCTTGTCAGGCCTTCCTTCTGAGGCGTGTCTAAGTGCACTCAAACTGCCAACCTCTTATTAGCAGCTCCCTGAGTGTATTACCCAGAGACTCTCCTATGCACATCCTGCATAGAATGGTCTGGAAAGCTGGATAGTACCCAGACTGCAAACGTCTGACTTACTGACACTTCCTCTGCACCCTTTGTTGAATTGTTGTTGTTGTTGTGTGATGTCAAGTCAGAACAGACTCATAGCTGACCCCCCACAGTGGGTTTTCAGAGGCAGTAACTCAAATAGGAGGAGAATGCCCATCCTTCCTCCTCAGAGCAGCCGGTGGATTCAAACCTTGTGCCTTTGGCATCACAGGACAGCTTCCTACCCACTTTGAAAAGACCTAATCTACAAACACCCCTGACCCGTTCACATTCGCTCCCGCTCACGCACTATCATCAACTCGGTTCCAGCTCCTAGAAACCTTCTGTCTGTTTCTGAGATTGCCAGGCTTTCTCCCAAGGAAGCCCTGGTGGGTCCAGATGGCTGGGGAAGTGTGACTTCGGGCTTTTCAGCACAGCTCCCTACGGAGCACACTTACCAGAGCTTGCGTCATCTGCATGGTTCCTTTACTTGTTACATGTGCAGTTTTTAAATCATTGACAAAGTATCCAGGCTTTTCTTCCGCCAACCAAAAGCCAAACCTGACCCGTCGCCAGGGAGCTGACTGACTCAAAGTGCTTCTGTGCGACAGAACAGAGCTGTTGCATAGTTTCCAGGCTGGGAACCTTTCCAAGCGCAATCTGTCTCATCAGTCTCTCAAAATAGTGGTTAGTGGGCTTGAACCACCAACCTTTTGCTTCGTAGCTTCATAGTACTACCAAGATTCCCCTCTTGTACTATAAGTGGCTGTTCTGAGCAATGGTTCTCAAAGCCACAGTTACAAAGAAGGAAGGGTGCTCACTTATAACACAGAGATCAGCTGTAAAAGCAACGGTCAGCAGAGGTGGCCTCTGGGGACAATACTGGGATGTCTGGACAAACAGAGTTTTTGTTGTTGTATGCCATCAAGTAGGAAGTGACTCACAGCTGACTCTCTGAAAAGGAGAAGGAAATTGCTCATTGTTCTCCCATGAAGAAGCTGGTAGATTCGAACTGCATGCCTTTTGGATTGCAGAGCAGCTTCTTATCACTAGGCCACCAGAGCTCCTTATGAGTATTGTTGTTATTGTGTACTATAGATTTGACTCTGACCCTTAGCAGGTTTTCAGAGGTGGTAAATCTCAGGGAGGTGATGGTCCATCTTTCTCCCATGGGGAAGCTGGTGGTGGATTCAACCGGCTTACCCAGCACTCACTGCTAAAATCCTTACCCCTAAACTACCACAGCTCCCTTACAAGTAACACAGGAGGGAAAATTTTAACTGTAAACCCCCAAGTACATCTAGAATCCTCTAGCTCGTGAGTATATTGCTAAGTATTCTAAAATGTACAATTAGAAGGGTTAAAAAAAAACAAAACACACTTGGAGATGAACTAAAATAAGTCATATTTTCCAGAGGTTCTTTTAGACATTATTTTTCTTTTTTTTAATTTTTGTTGTTGTTGTTAAGTGCCATCAAGTCGTAGGCAACTCATAGCGACCCTATGAACAAAAGCCCTGGACACCTGTGTAACTTTCGTCCTTTCTCCAGGTTCACAGAGCTTCCAGAGGCAAGCTATTACAGAAGTGGATGCCACTCCTGCTTCCAAGCTTGTTTTAATTGGGGAGCTAGCTATAAATCTGACCACTGAGTCAATAGGCAACATCATGACAGATGAAGAAAGGACTGAAGTTCCAATGATTTTAATTTGCTTGTATCAACAACAATCAACACTCTTGGTACCAGCAGTGAGAAGATCAGGAATCACATTGCACTGGGAAAGTCTGCAGTCAGGGATCTCTCCAAAATACTGAAGAACAATGATGTCAGCCTATAGATTCAAACATGCTTTATTCGGGCTATGGTCTTTACAATTACTTGCCATGCATCTGAGAGCAGGAAGAAAGGCACAAGGATGATAGCGGAGTTGATACCTTTGAGTTGTGATGTGGGAGAAAAGTGCTAAATCTCCCATTTATCTAATTAGAAAAAAAAACAACCCAGCCCCAGCTTGTGAGCTCCGGGAGTAGCCTGAGGTCCCCAGCATCCCACTGAGAGGCCATGGTGCCTGTGCTGGGCCCACGCCCATGGTGCTTACTGCAAGCCCCTACCTGGCTCAGCTGGGCCTTCTCGGCCAGGCACGAGGCCGCCTGCTCCTGCTGCCTGTTCACGTCCTCGGCCAGCCGCAGGATGGTCTCTCGGCTGGCCTTTGCCTCCATCTCATGGACGTTCACGGTCTCTTCAAGTGTGACAAGCTGTCCTCTCGCTGATGCGTTTTCCTTGCACAGCGCTCGAAGCTGAGGAGAAGGCAGTTGTGGTTGTCACGTAAACGTTAGCAATTGCACGTCCTTCTCTCTCAACACCCCTCCCTCCAGCCCCCAGTGGTGAGTTACTCTGCTAGATCAATACAGACCCTCTTAGAGGGACTTAACGCTCTCCTAGCCATTGCCTAAGCTAAGCCTAAACTTAAGCTTAAGCTAATGTTAAGTGCAGACAAGGTGGCTCAAAGACAAGGACATAGAAGGTGGCTGCAAGGGAACAGAAATAAGAGAGCAGACAGAAGCTTCCAGAAAGAAGTGGGGAGACCTTGCAGGTCAAATAATCCCAGCGAGGTCACGGCCTGTGGAACTGCACAGCTGAGAGAAGGCTTAGAAGCAAGGATGGATGGTGTCCCCCCAGGCCACCGTAGCAAAAACAGAAAAGACAGAACGCTCATTAGAGAGAGAGAGTGCCCCTTCTAGTTAGTTCAAGCATTTTTTAAAATCATGGAAAAACTTTTTATACAATTTTAATTTTGTAGCTGTGATTGTTGTTGTTATGTGCCGTCAAGTCGCTTGTGACTCATAGAGACCTTATGTACAACAGCCCTAAACTCCGCTCTGTCCTGTGCCAATCACACTGTCTCTGATACTCCCATCCCAATTATTCCAGTCACTGAATCAATCCACCTCATAGAGGGCCTTCCTCTCCTGAGCTGTCTGTCCCTCCACCCTCCATTTATTGCTCTTTACAATAAACCTTTTAAATATCTTCTAAAAAAATAATAAAATCCTTTACTAGAGGAAAAAAAATCCTGGAAAAACTGTATCAAAGGACAGCTATCACTGGAGTTGGGAATGACCACAGGGCTTGTCGCCTTGATGTTACACATCGGTGTCTTTATTGAGTTGTCAGTTGGAAGCCTGTGGTTCCATTCATAATACTCAGCCATTGAACTCAGTGAAGGGTGCCATTGGGTTAAAACTGACCCACAGCTGTCTCTCCAGGGAGATTTAGGGTCAGTAAGTCACACAGAAGGAGACAGCCCAGCCTCCTGTGGAACAGCTGGCGGTTCAAATCGCACCTTTGAAGAGGCAGCGTAATTTCTTCCCATCACTCCCTCAATAAATAACCCAAGTAAGAGAAGGTCCAAGGAAGAAGAACAAACCCGGACACAGGAGCAGAGAGTGCAGCCTGCGGGGTACTGTGAAGGGAGAGCACCGCTCACGATGAGTCAAACTCCACTCGACAGCACCTAACACAACAGCAGCAAACCCAACATCATCACGTCAATTCCAGCTTGTAGTGACCAGATAGAATGAAAGAAAGCTACACATACGGGCTGCCAGGCTGCAAACCTTTACCGCAGCAGACTGCCTCCGCATTCTCCTGCAGAGCCGCTGGTGGATTCAAACCTCTAGCCTTTGAGTTAGCCACCCACTGTGTAATCCCTTACCAGGTTCACCAGGAAGGGACCTAAAACCAACCAGGCTCCTGGCCTGAGACTGGAGGGTGGTGAGCATCAGTGGGAAGACGTGAGAGTCATGGGACCAGTCCCATGCCTGTGTCATGACCACCTGCGGGGTGACAAATCGCTTAGCCTCAGCAATTGGACATCAGGACACCCTGCTCCTGGCTCAGTGCAGTTCCCTCCCTCTTCAGCTCTTTCCCTTCATGTCTGCATGCTAACTCCCCAACTTCCTTGAAAGGTCCCCACTTCAGGGGGACCAACACATCTACACACCTCCCCAAACCTCTCACTCACAGCACTGTTTGCCTCCGAGTCCAGATTGTGTTCTTCTTCTTGTACTTCTTCTTATCTTTGTTGTTGAGGGAGCTCTGGTAGCTTAGTGCCAAGAAACTGAGCTGCTAATACAAAGGTATGCGGTTCAAATCTCCCAGTTGCTCCACAAGAGAAGGATGGGCAATCTCTACCTACGTGGTTTGGTGTTGTTGTTGTTGATTGCCTTCAATTCGAGCATGACTCATAGCCACCTTATGAACAAAAGGCCTGAAGCCCCTTTATTACTATCAACATTTATCAAAGTTCTTAGAGTTTCTGGAGGCATGTTGCTTAGGAAGTGAATGTCACTCCTGCTTCCAAACCTTTGTGGTTTACCACCTCTGAAAACCCGCTGGAGGGTCAGCTATGGGTCAGTTTCAACACAACAGCACACAACAAGAACAACCCTTTTCTTACTTGGGTAATAATAGCGATTGGTTTATCCCTTCATTTTCTCTTACAGAGGTTGCTCCAAGGAGACCAGCAGGTGGGCTAGGAGAGCAGGGTAGCAGGAAGACTTTGAAGTATAGGCCCTCCAGTATTGTTAGAATCTTGTAATCTTGTATTAACTATATGGTTCAGAAATGCAACACTTTGAACAGAAAGGTAATAGACAGTTTTCAAATGTAAAATTTATGTCATTTAACTAACACAAGACATTCTTTATGAGTTCTTAACTTTGTGTGGTTTGTATTTTGCATGTTTGGTGAGAATGTTATGAATCAAATTGTCTCCCCAAAAGATACTGACATCCTAACTCCTGTGACCTGTGGAAGGTACAGACATACTTAGAGACATCGAAGGTTCAGTTCCTGATCACTACAACAAAGCAAACATTCACAAAAAAGCGAGTCATGTGGATTTTGAGGTTTCCCAGAAGAAACACAAGTTATGTTTACACTGTACTATAGTCTAGGGACCTCTGGTGGCCAAGCAGTAAGGAGCTGTGCTGCCAACACAAAGGTATATGGTTCTAATCCACCAGCCACTCTGCAAGAGAAAAATGGGCAATGTCCTCCTACGACATTTACTGCCTCTGTAAATTCATTGGAGGTTCACCTATGGGTTGGATTCAACTCAACAGTTCACAACAACAACAACTCTAGGTAGTCGCACTGCTTACGCCTAGGCTGAGCCCCTCTGACAGTTCAAATCCACCAGTGACTCTTTAGGAGAAAGATGGGCAATCGCTCCCAGGACAGTTTACAGCAGTGGGCCAAGGGTTGGCCTGGTAACTGAAAAGAAAGTTGTTTGTGCCCCTAGTTGTTCCGTGGGAAAGAGACGAGGCAATCTGCTTATATCCTCAGGTCCAATGAGACAATGCATAATTGTATCAATCAATTATAACGAATGCTATCAAGCAAAATGTGTATGAAAGATTGAATGAAATAGAAGATGGTTTACAAACTTTAACTCAAATGAAGAAAAACATGTGTAACTCAGATGGTCACTGCCAATCTGCATCAACTCGATGGGAGGAGCTTTGGGGTTTGATTGGTGATGTATCATTAAGTTGGGATTTTTATTTGGCTTTAGTGTAAAATTTTTAAAAGTTTGAAAAACGAATCAATATTTTACACTCAATAATAACAATAACATCCAAAAAATGACCTATAGCTGTTTTGTTTTGTTTTGTTTTGTTTTTGTTTTCAGTTTGTTGGCATGTTTAGTTTTTGGCTTTTCTAGTAATAACTAAAAGGGGAATGGGGTGGGATCTGGAGACTTCTCTTCTTTTGTGGTAAGGAATTAAATGGCCAGTACAAAGGTATATGGTTCGAATCCACTAGCTGCTCTGCAGGGGAATGGGCAATCTCCTCCCATGTGATTTACTGCCTCTGAAAACCCATCAGAGTGTCACCTATGGGTAAGTTTCTACTGAATAGTCCACAACAGTAAAGCTATTAAAAGAGATGAACTGTTTTCAACATTCTAAATACGTTTGTACATATAACACATGGACCTCCAGGAGAACAAATAGGTCTGTCTTGGAGATGGTGAAACCAAGTTTCTCCTTGGAGGCTAGGATTTTGAAGCTCCATTTCACATAATTTGGGCATGTGGCCAGGAGGGACCAGTCTCTACAAAAGGACATCATGCTTGGAAGGGTGAAGGGACAGCAAAGAAGAGAAAGACCTCAGATGAGATGTATTGACACGTTAACTGAGGCAGTGGGATTAAGTGTGTTGGAGTCAATGAGACTGGCTCAGGATAGGGCAAAGTTCAGAGCTGTTGTACGTAGGGCTGCTATAAGTTGTGGTTGACTAGATGGCACATAACAACAGCAAATACGTTTGGCAATAAGCCAGTTGAACCAGTTGCTGTCAAGTCACTCCTTGGCCATGGAGCCCTCCTGTGCGCTCCACAAGGTTTTCAGGGCTAAGACTGTTCAGAAGATTGCCAGGACTTTCTTCTGAGGCACCAGTGGGTGAGTTCCAACAGTCAAATTTTCAGTTAGTGGTAAGGAGCTTAAAAGTTTGTAGTTCTTAAAAAAAAAAAAAGTTTGTAGTTCTTAAGTGCAGTCTATGTGATAATCAATCCCTTAAGGAGAATAATTAATCCAAAATAAAAAGAGGACTTTGAACTGCGGTTCAGAGAGGTGATAGAGTTGGTCCTATTTCACACAGCTAGTTAACACTAAGTTGGGGTTCCTGCTCAAGTCACCCCCAAACTGGGCCGCAGCTCTTTCTCTCAGGCCACATGTCAGCAAGTCCACTATATTTAAAGTCTTATTGATTTATCTATATACACCTTTAAAATCAAATCTTCCTCTGATGCTTTGCCATTCTTCATATCCAGTTCCAAGCAGTCATGAAGTTGAGAGAGAAAGTCTTCCTGTTTTCTGCAAGTCTCTGAGACTTTGATCTTATTCTCTTCCTTTTCCTTTAAACATTTCCTACCAGGAAAACAACAAATAACCCTGGATTAACACCCCCACAGAAGACAGTATTCCTTGAGACTCAGCACTTTCACTCTCTGTGGAAAATCACTGCTGTCATTTTCCACACAACACGGTTTCCCAGGCGGAAAACATACAATTAGCACTCAACTCCTCGCCCTCACAGAGCTACTGGAAAGCCGGAAAATAATCAAGGATTAACATATGTGAAATATTCAGTTGGTTGGAAAAAGATGGCAACGAAGGAATAAAGGAAGAAAGAGGGATATGAAATATGTTGAAAACATAGCATCTTACATGTAGTAACAGTGGAAGAGCCCGTGGAGTGGGTGGTCAGACCTAGAGGAAAGTAGAAGGCTTGAGTATGTCCTATCTGTGGAAGATTGACAGGAAGAATGGAATTGTCATTAAATGAATGAAGGAAAGTTCAGGGATACAAGTAGCTCATTTGGGGGCAAATATGCCCAGATATGCCTCAGAAGAGAGATCTAGAGGTTCACTTCCAAAAAGCTACAACTCAATCCTCAATTCATTATTGTCATTCGCCAATTCCAACTCATAGCAATGCTACAGGGCAAGGTAGACTTGTGCCAGTAATTTTCCAAAGCTATGAACCATAATGGGACTAGACTGTCTCGCATTTCTCTCCTGGAGCAGCTGGTGCGTTCCAACCCACCATCTCCCAGTTAGCAGCTTAACAATCTGTGGCACCACTAGGCCTCTTCCAAAAGATCCCAGCCATTGAAAACTCTACGGAGGCCAGTTTTTCTCCAGCAGACATGGTGTCACCATGAGTCACACTCAACTTGGAAGCTACCGCTATGATTTGATCTTGGTATTTTGGACATACACACGGAAATGTCCAATTAGTAGTAAGATGTGTCGGTGTTAAGTTTCTACAAGAGATACCGATTAGACACGGAAACATGAATGTCATCAACATTTAGGTGATCCTTAAAGCCACGAGGCTAAAGGAGATCATCAAAAGCATACATCATACAGCCTCAGGCTAAACCCGAGCTCAGAGGAAGTCTTTCAAGTGTGTCCATAAAGATGTGAAGCCCTGGTGAGTAGTGCATGGCTTAGAGGAATTCTCTATTTGTGAGGACTGATGACACTTCAAAATAGGCTTGGGAAACATTTTTCAGGATTCCAAAGATAGTTGATTGAGGTCATTATTTTTCTAATTAAGTCTCATGACCAAATGATGCAAAATACCAGACCACTGAAAGGTATATCTTACTATCAGAAGCTACTATTGTAATATTCCATGGACCAAGAGCTATATTTCAATGTCCTTACTGTAATTTTTCTTCTAATTCTATGACTTTCTTCTTCAGCACCTGGTTCTCCTTGACAGCAGCGTGAGCTGTGATTTCTATTCTGATTTTTGAAGTAGTGAGTGCTGCCACTTCCCCTTCTAGCTCCTGAACTCTGTCTCTCAACGAGGTGAGAAGAGATGACTTCCTGGCATTGTTTTCTTTATAGCTCTCCATTTCAGCTTTCAACTCTTGACAGGAAACTTCTTTAGAAAGCATCTTGGATCGAAGTTCTCGCAGCTAACACCGAAAAGAAGCAAAAAGAGGGGAAAGGATTTAATTCTACAAATCTGAGATCGCTTGAAGAAAACCCTAAATCAAAATTTACAATTTTCTTCTTCTTTTATGACTCACTCCAACTTTTTCTTTTTCCTTTTTATTTGTATCTGTATTTACCAGATGAGAAACTACACAGACAATGGGTTTTCATAGCCTATTCTTTGCAAAATCAATTGAGCAATGGCTTGTGTTGATTTGGTCTCATTCAAGAGACACTGTGGTGTGTTTCACCCAGAGCAATAAAACATGTTGCAAGGGTAACCCATTTTCCAAACCCGTATGGTTGTTACTACTGCTGATGAACTATGAAATATGAAACTTTCCAGCCACACTCTGTGTGATACAAAGCCACAACTGTTTCTTAAATGACAGACTTAAATAACAATTAAATAACTGTTAACTTAAATAACTGTTTCTTAGACAATTCAATCTATCACCGTGTCTCTTGCACTTACCTTCTGGACCTTAATTATAGTGATAAAGAAATATAATATTCAGATTTCGGAAAAAATATGGGAGATAAGTGAAAACTTTACAGGATTTATACAGAATTAATATTTTCATTTTTATGAATTCTGTAGCCTCTGAACACTGAATCACATTAGGTAGTCTACCCTTTAAAACAATTGTATTTCTTATGAACAATTAGAATTCAGATGGTGGTGGTTGTTGTTGTGTGCCATCAACTCACCTGCGACTCATAGCGACCCTATGTATAGTAGCTCTGAAGCCTGCCTTGTCCTGAGTCAGTCACACTACCCACAATGCCCCAGTTACTATATCAAACCATCTCATCCAAGATCTTCCTCTCCTGCACTGTCCCTCCACCATTCCTAACATGATGTCCTTCTCCAAGGACTGTGCGTCCTGGTCATATGCCCAAGGTATGTGAGAAGGAACTTCAAAATTCTAGTCTCAAAGGAGAAACTTGTGTGTGTGTGTGTGTGTGTGTGTGTGTTTTCCCTCATATGCTCACACATATGCGCACCATATGGACTCATCTTCTAATTGAGTTTGGCTGCCCAAGTGAGACTATTAGACAATAGTAGGATTGTTAGAGTCAATGGGCTATGAACATGATGAGCATGGGTGGGAGTACAAACTCTCAGTAACTGCATAAGAGCCCTGATCTAGCCTTGAACTTCCAGAGAACTGGCATACCTCAGATATATTTCAGGTTGCTTCCAGACCAACTCAATAAAGCAAATACAGCTATGAAGCAAGTCACATAAAGTCTTTAGTTTCTTCACTGTGTATGAAAGTTATGTTTGCACTATACCAGTTGGCATAGTGAATAATGTGCTCGGCTGCTTGCAGACCATGAGGTTAAGGGTTCAAGTCCACCAGCCAAGACACAGGAGAAAGAGGATTAGTCTCCTTCCATGATGATTTACAACGGCCAAAATCCGATGGAGAGTCACTTTGAGTCAGAACCCATTCTATGACATTGGGGTTTTGTTTTATAGTCTATTAAATTAGCAGTAGTATTATGGAAAAAAATTAAATATTGTCAAAATTACCAAAATGTGGCATGGAGACATGAAATGAGGACATACTACTGGGAACATGACTTCAACAGAGTTGCTTGAGGAAGGGTTGCCACAACCTTCAATTTGTGAAAAAAACCACAATGTCTACAAAGCACAATAAAGCAAGAGTGTGGTAAAAGGAGGTATGCCTGTAGAGGTCCCAGCCCCCTTTCTAGAATTTTCCTAGCCAGTCACAACTACCAAAGGAAAAAGTATTCCAAGTTCTCTTGTAAAATCTCCATGTTAGCGGAAGGTGTTCCAAGTGATGATAGAAGCACTCTGAAGCCTCTGGCACCTCCACTCTAGGTCCTCAGGTACCTGGGAGGGCTCCAGGAGGTAGAGCTGTTCTGAGACCTAGAAGGCAGGCAAAGTCTCCATGTGCATCGCATTTTGCAATGTGCCAACTCTAGAACCTCTTAGGGACTCTCCACAATCAATTAGAGGGAAAAAATCCAAACTTTACCCAAAGGTTTGAGCCTGTAACACACGGTCCTATTTCTAACCACCTCCAGGCTCTGCTCTACTCCCCAAGAAGCGGACCAGGCCCTTTTCTGAGTGCTGGGGGTCCTTTCTCTTACCTCAGTCTGCGCACGATCCAACTTGACCAGAGTTGCTGCGAGTTCACTTTGCACATTCTCAGCCACATCTCGGTAGTGGTTCAGCTGCTCCCGAGTGACTGGAACTGCCGACTGATTGTAAGTTTCCTGTTGGGTTCCGCCAGAAGACAAAATACAGTTGTTGTTATGCACCACTGACCCACAGCTGACCCTCCGGGGCGTCCTCAGAGGCTGTACGTCACTCATACATCACTCAAGAGGAGAGTGCCTATCTTTCTCCAATAGAGCAGCTGGGGGATTTGAAACACATACCTTCAGGGAGCAGTACAGCTCCTTTCCACTAGGCCACCAGAGTGTGCTAAACAATATTTTATGTGCAGCTGTGTAAAGTTAAATCAAAGGCAGAAGCATTGTGCTAAAAATACTATCAGAAGCAAAGTTTTGTTCAGATAATCTAACTCTCATCCTCAAAATTCAGATTTATTTCTTCTTGTTGTTGTTGTTGTGTGCCTTCGAAATGCTTGGGACTCATAGCGACCCTATGAACAACCATTCTGAACCCTGCTCTATCTTGAACCAATTTCATTGTCTCTGACACACCTACCGCCACTACCCCAGTCACTGAGCCAATCCATCTCACCCAGGGTCTTCCTCTCTTATGCTGTCCCTCCACCCATCCAAGCATAATGTCCTTCTCTTGGCAACTTCCTTGCTGAAGAATGTCAAGGATGGTAGGTTTCAATATGGATTGAAACTCAGCATCAAAGATGACAAAGATTCTCACCACTGGGCCAATTGACAGCGCCACAATAGACGGAGGATAGATTGAGTTGTCAATAATTTTGGTTTGATTGGCTCCACAATCAATACTGTTGGCACCAACAGTCAGGAAATCAAATTATGAATTGCATTGGGGAAGTCTGTTAACAGAGACCTCTCCAAAATGCTAAAGAGCAATTATGTCATTTTAGAGACTAGACATGTTGTTGTTGTTGTTATGTGCCATCGAGTCGTTTGCGACTCATAGCGACCCTATCTACAACAGCTCTAAACCCTGCTCTATCCTGTGCCAACCACACTGCCTCCGACACACCCATCCCAATTACCCCAGTCACCGAATCAATCCATCTCATAGAGGGTCTTCCCCTCCTGCGCCGTCCCTCTACCCTCCCAAGCATGATTTCCCTCTCCAAGGACCCGCCCCTCCTGGCAACATGTCCAAAGTATGTCAGACGAAGCCCCAGAATCCTTGCCTCCAAGGAGTAGCTTGGTTTATTCCTCTCCAAGATGAATCTGTTTGTTTTCCTGGCAGTCTATGGTACATTCACTACTCTTCTCCAGCACCACAGCTCAAAGGCATCAACTCTCCTTCTGTCCTCCCTAGTCATTGTCCAACTCTCTGATGCATAACAAGCGATTGCAAAGACCATGGCCTGTATCAGGCGCACCTTAGTCTCCAGAGAGACACCATTGCTCCTGAGTACTTTAGAGAGGTCCCTAACAGCAGACTTTCCCATCGCGCTATGCTTTTTGATTTCCTGACTGCTGGTGCCAAGAGTGTTGACTGTGGAGCCGAGCAAACTGAAGCTGTGAACAATCTCAATCTCTTCGTCATCCATCCTGACGCTGCCAATTGGTCCAGTGGTGAGAATCTTTGTCTTCTTGACATTGAGCCTCAGTCCATACTGAAGGCCATAGTCTTCACAATTACTTGCTATGCATCAGAGAACTGGATAATGACTAAGGATGACAGAAGAATTGAGCCCTTTGAGTTGTGTTGAAGAAGAATCTTGAACATACCATATACTGCCAAGAGTTGTCTTGGAGAGGTTAAAACCAACTTTCTCCTTCAAGGTAAGGATTTTTAAAACTCTGTCTCACATACTTCGGGCACGTGGCCATGAGGGACCAGTCCTTGGAGAAGAGCATCATGATTGGAAGTGTCGAGGGACCATACAGGAAAGAAAGACCCTAGATGAGATGGAATGACACAGTAACTGGGGCACTGAGGACAGGCGTGTTAGAGTCAGTGAGACTGGCTCAGGACAAGGCAGGGTTTAGAGCTACTATACGCAGGGTTGCCGTGAGTCGCAGGCAAATTGGTGGCTATAACAACAACATGAACTGTAGCTGACTTGATAGCACCTAACGAAAACAACATGTTTTGATCCACACACTTTAAGGTCTCTGCAGAGTCAATACACGTTGTTGTTGTTGTGAATGTTAAGTGCCATCAAGTCGAGTATGACCCATAGCAACCTTGTGAATAGATCTGAACCCTGTTCTATCCTGTGCCATCCTCAAAATCTCTTGACACATTTCAACACATTGCAGCAGTCATTGTGTCAATCCATCTGGCTAAGGGTCTTTCTTTCACCAACACTTTGCCTTTCTAAACATGATATCCATCTCAAAGGAACAGCTTCTCCCAGCAACATGCCCAAGGTTTATATGACTAAGCTGTATCACCTTGACCTCCAAGGAGTATTCTGGCTGCACCTTCTCTAAGACATATCTTTAGTTCTTTTGGCAGGCCACTGAATACTCTTCTCCAACACCACAGTTAGTAGATAGCCTTTTACAAAACAAGAATTATTATAGTACTTTCTTCACAATCTCATGTACAAACTATTCATACAAGATAATGCCAAAAAGCCTTTTGATGGCAAATGTTGCTGGTATCATTGGAAGAGTGTGGAATACAATTGCACAGACAAATCACACACTCCTAGAATTGTAGTAAGGTTCAACAATTTAGAATTTGCCTCAACATTACAAAGGTCCTCAGAAGAAATCAAAGGAATTCAAGGAGTTTCCTTCCTATGCAATTCAAGAATCAAGAGTCGGCAACGATCTGTCCAAGAGATGCAGTGCTAAATCCTATGTGAACAGGAGATGGGTTTCGTTGCTTTTCTATTTCTAGTCTCAAAGATTATCAATCGATTGATGAAAGTGCTTCATCTATTCAACAAGGGTATCATGTGACTTCAAGTCTGTCTTCCTGATAATTTTTCACATTATCTTTTCTTCTTAACCTCATAACCTGTCTTGGGGTCATGAAGGTGATTGGAATAAATAAGAGGAGGGAACAGTGAGGTGTGTGGACAGCCCTCCTCCACTGAGACAAGAACAGCTCTCTGCTCTGCTGGACATTGGTCAAAGCCCAATGTCATCAAGTAGGCCTGTATTTCAAGCTAAATCATATAACTGGATTTTTGAGATTAAAAATTACTAGGTTTTAGAGCTTGGCAATTAACATATGTGGCGTGTTTTGTTTTTTGTTTTTTTTTAAAGCAACCCTATAAGACTATACTTTCAGGGATAATTTCTGTAGTTCTGTAGAGCACATAAAGCAACTGTGTGTGACCCAAGTAGTCAGGGTGCATTGGACTCATATCATCTCATGATCACAGTGCGCAATCTCGCATCCTGGTTCTGTCCTATTCCAGCCACAACAGCTGCTTCCTTCAAAAATTAGAGTCTTAGTTAGGCACAGACTGACACCCACTTCTCTGAAGTTTCCAGGGCCTGTGGCCTTTGTGAAATACATACAAGAAAGCCATTCAGTGTTGAAGGAATCTACGAGAGCCCACCCAAAGCAGGATTTCTGGGAAACAGCTTAGCGACCTCTGGGCAAATACCAGTAAAACCACTTTATGATTGCCCAGCTCCTCAATGGCTAGAGACTAGTGCTTGAAAAGGCTCATGAATGCAGAAGTCATCTCAGGGCCCTTTACGGTTCAACAAGTGTTGTCATGACCGGTGTGTTCTAACCCACAAAGTGCCAACCAAAACCGTCGAGGCACTCAGGAACAGCTAACGTCCGCCCGTCAAAGCACAGCCACGAGAATGGCAGAGACGCACTCCTTACAGAACACAGAAAAAGTTCAACCAAGTCGAAAAAGAAAATCTCTTCCTGTTCTGCCTCATTCAATATTCAGAAAGGATTTTTCCATGCTAGCGAAGCGTGGCATTAGGATTGGTGGACAATCTATCCACAATCTGCGTTATGCAGATGACACAACCCTGCACGCTGAAATTGAGGAGGACCTCATGCACTTACTGCAGAGGGTCAAGGACTGCAGCCTTCAATATGGACTGAGGCTCAATGTCAAGAAGACAAAAATTCTCACCACTGGACCAATTGGCAGCATCAGGATGGATGGTGAAGAGATTGAGATTGTTCACAGCTTCAGTTTGCTCGGCTCCACGGTCAACACTCTTGGCACCACTAGCCAGGAAATCAGAAAACGTATTGCGATGGGAAAGTCTGCTGTTAGGGACCTCTCTAAAGTACTCAAGAGCAACAGTGTCTCTCTGGAGACTAAGGCCATGGTCTTTGCAGTCACTTGTTATGCATCAGAGAGTTGAACAATGACTAGGGAGGATAGAAGAAGAATTGACGCCTTTGAGCTGTGGTGCTGGAGAAGAGTACTGAATGTACCATGGACTGCCAAGAAAACAAACAGATTCATGCTAGATAGGGTTAAACCAGGCTGCTCCTTGGAGGCAAGGATTCTGGGGCTTCGTCTGACATACTTTGGACATGTTGTGAGGAGAGACAGGTCTTTAGAGAGGGACATCATGCTGGGCAGAGTGAAGGGACAGCGCAGGAGGGGAAGACCCTCTATGAGGTGGATTGATTCAGTGACTGGGGTAATCGGGATGGGAGTGTCAGAGGCAGTGCGATTGGCACAGGATAGAGCAGGGTTTAGGGCTGTTGTACATAGGGTTGCTATGAGTCGCAAACGACTCGACAGCACATAACAACAACAACAACAGCCACCACAGCTGTATGTTCTAAAATCGACCTTGAGAGGACAAGGCCACTTACAAGTTTGGACCACTGAGCATTCAGCACACCATTCTATAAAACTAAATAGAAAAAGTAAGCTCTGCATGGATATTATTATTATTATTAGGGTTTTTTTAATGGAAGTTATGTTATTGTTGTTGTTGAGTGCTATCCAGTTACTTGCAACTCATTGTGACCCTATATACAGCAGCTTTGAACTCTGCTCTATCCTGTGCCAACCTTTTTGTCTCTGACACAACTACTTTCATTAACCCAGTCACTGAATCAATCCCTCTCTTCCAGGGTCTTCCTCTGTTGCGCTGTCCCTCTACTTCCCAAGCATGACATCCCT